ACACTGAAAGTTCTAWTGAGTGGAAGCACCACTATCCGGCACCTTTTATAGCAGACAGAAAGCTGAAGTTTACCGAAACATCCACACCACTGAATTTAGTCTTTTCTTTCATGTAGATCAACTATTTTGTCTGCTTTTCTTTCAATTGTAGATGCTTGTTCACCCACATCTGCTGAGCTAATTTTGGCGTGTTATAGGAAGCGTAGGGTAAATAGAGCAGTAGCGCAGAGCACTGGTGAAACGGCTATTGATATAAATGTCAATTTTCTTACTTGGTAAAAAGTGTTCACTGCAAATACATGAATACATCATGGGCTGCTAGTCCCAACCCATTCTCACTCCCATGTCGTCACATATTGACGCTTTTCCAAGGTTCCCTCTACGTCCGATTTTGACGCGCCGGGTACCCCCGTCACGTCAGTTACTGACGAGATGGGGCGAAATCTGTTGTCATATTTTCAGAAAGTGTAGAAAATGCGCAAAAACTACCGTTTCGAAGCCTGAAATTACCTTTGTTCACTTTAGACATCCTGTCCCTGACCCTAGTACCTAAAATTAACCATTTTTAGAAAATGTAGGAAATTCACGTCAACATGTTCCAAAGCCTGAAATTACCTAATATTCACCATGGACATCCTACCCCTGATCCCAGTACCTAAACTTAACCATTAATCCTGATCACTCATGTTAACCTCAGACCCCCGACCCAAAGACCCCTGGTGGCGCAACCCAGAAAAGCCGCGGGCGTCAAGGACTGACGCGAGGGGGGTACCCGGCGCGTCAAAATCGGACGTAGAGGGAACCTTGGAAAAGCGTCAATATGTGACGACATGGGAGTGAGAATGTGTAGCTAGTCCTTATGGTTGATGGCTGCTATCCATCGCTGTCTTTTGTCCTCATCCAAATAAAGGCAATGAATTGACAGGTTAGGTTTGTTTCCTTGTTTGTTTGTGCAGCCGACTATGTAGCCCCCTATGACCAGCTTTCCTCATAAATCAACTAAATAAAATCGATATTAGGCTATAAACTGTGTTTAACTAATCGTACAGAATTTTAAATGTGCATAGGTTGTTTTGACGTTCGTCTTTACAGAGTGGGCCGCCTTCTGAAGAGCGTGATGTCACATGCAAAGGGTCAATAGCCAATTTGATCAAACCTTGAAAATAATGTTTTGTAATCCCATGCAATAACACAATGACTCACTCGAAATACATGTTTTAATTGACTCAGCTATTATCACTACAAATTGTTAGATATAGTGTCTGCAAAACTGAATTAAAGTGATTTTTGTGACACTAATGTTGACTAGCTGTGGCAACCCTTTGGATTAATTGACTCCAAAGGTTAGTCAGTTGTCGATGCACTGTCTGTCCAATGATAGCTTTCAGCAAGTTTTATTAAAATCTGTCCAATGGTTCATTAGATATTTTGCTGAAAGGCAGAGTTGATTCCAAAGTGACTGCTGACATTTTAAGCGAACATCTCAGCAGTGATGGGGAGTTCCGGTAATTCGCTAAAAGCAGAACTAGCTACTTATTTAGGACATTAGAATTTTTGCTAATGTTGAAAGCTATTGGCGAACTAATTTGCTTCTGCTATGTTAGGTTCCACTAATTTTATATATGCTAAAAATTCACAAGTGTAAAAGTTCTATTTTTATATATTTTGCCATTTTAAACTGGAATTGCCACAAATTATCCAGAGCTAAAGCTTTGGTTTCGTTTGGCCAATTTGCCACAGATGATCCCACCCACCTTCGAATTAAACCAATAGAAAACTAACAACAAGCTTGTGTCAGTCTCCTCTGTTTAACTGGTAGGAGATGAAGATGTGTGACAGATGATTTAGTGGTTAGCAATAGCTTCCCTTAACTTTTTAGTATTTATCGGCAGAGCGTTATCTGAACTGAGATTCTTGTTTAGAAGATTAGATGATTAGAGGTTATTGAAGCTAATTTTTGGTTAGCTGTGTGCCCACCACTATATCTCAGTAACTTCCGTATGTGTTGTAAATGACTCTCAGCTACAATCAAACCACATTTTAGCACATTTTTTAAATCAATGGAATTATTGTATTTTTTGTCTTACTGAAGTTGAGGCTGCCTGTGGCAGTCACCTTAAATTTTACTGACTGCAAAATGTAATCAGTGTAATGACATTTAGTGATTATTTCCTGAAAGTTTCAATAAAAAGACAGGTTTTACTAAGAAATGGACAGAGTTGACTACTACTAATTAATGTCAAGCTTTTGAACAAAGACCTTGAGCAATCTGTTAGCGCTTATGCTGTATGTGCCACAGATCAGTCTCAGCTACTACCATGTCAAATTTTAATTGAAAATTTATAAAATTAACTAGATTTTTGTGTTTTCTAAGGTTAGTTGGTTGTTGTTGCTGTTTTGAATCAGGCAATAAAAGATACTCAGAGGTTTCCTGTTTGTGATTTAAGCATGGGTTATAAACGTTACTTACACACACACACACACACACACACACACACACACACACACACACACACACACACACACACACACACACACACACACACAAACACACACACACACACACACACAAACACACACACACACACACACACAAACACACACACACACACACACACACACACAGTACCCTACTTCCTTATAGACTCTGTAATTCTAGAGGTTTGTAGTCTGTGATTTGAAAAGTCAATACTTGAAACTCAAACACACACACTAGTGATATACTTCTTTCACAAACAGATACACGCCCTCTTTCCTTACAGCCATTGATTAATCCATAAAAAAAAGCTCTTTGGCTTCTCCGGTCCTCCTCCTCTGAGTAAATTACCTCACTGGATCTATTTTCAGCCCATCTCAAAGCGTCCCTCTAACCTTTGTTCTCACTGCTCTTTGTGACACAGAGTAGGGGATCGTCTTTTAAATCCCCAAATGTGTCACAGAAGTACAAATAAAAAAACGGCAAATTTAAGGCCTAATATTCTTTGAAGAAATGTATATCCCCCATTGTCTGTGTTTTACATAGCTATTTCTGTGAATAATTTGAAAATAACAACGCACAATCTCGTGTGATATCTTGCATGATATGTTGCTCTTGGAGTATGTGTGTTTAATGACACTCACCTACTAACATCCATTTTTACCTCAATATCTGCCGAATTCTCTAAATTCTAGTTGTTTTTATGTAAGACTGTTAATGAGTTGTGGCATTCATCTTGGTGTGAGTTGACTCCAGTAGTTAATCAGTTGTAGATGACTGTTGACTAATAACTATGTTTCATTAAAATCACAGTGGGGGGAATTTCATTAAAATTCATTAAACCACAGTGGTTTGTTACAAAAAGAGCCAAAATACAAGATGATTGCAACAGATAATGCCACATTTTTAAGCTAACTTGTAACACATTTTGTTGCCCTCAAAATATTTTTGGGGGAACAATGCTCAGCTTTTGCAACACTAAATTTTAGATAATTATCTTGAAATAATCTGAGTTATAGCAAATTATGTTTTCTAAAATCAGTTGACTGCAGTAAACAACTTGATTTTAACTGAGTCCAAAAGTGGATTAGTTTCAAAGGTATGTCCAATTATTGTTTTCTGAAAGCTTCATTAAAATCTGTGTATTTATGAGATATTTTGCTAACAGACAGAGCAGGTGCCAATAGTTAATATCAAAGTCAAGGATACCTCTTAGATACTACCACAAGGTTAGTCTGGAAAATAAATATAGCCATTTTTGTGTTCCCCGATTGATTAGCTGTAGTGGCCACCTTGAATTGGGTTGACTCAGGTTGTGTCCAAATTCAGGGGCTGGGTCCTTCGAAGGACCCGGCCTATCTGGTCTAGGTGGGACAAGTCCTTGGTCGACTGCAAAGATCAGAAAAAGTGGCTGTGAATTTGGACAGTCTGGTCTTTTGCTTTATTCCCACCCTTATCTCGGCGTACGTCCTGCCTCCTAGCTACCATTATGGACCCAACGTAGGGGCACATTATTTTTATTTTTTATTTTCATTTTTAAATTTGGACAGCGTCCGGCACAGTGCTGTGATGTAAGCGGCCTTTGGAGGACACAACCTCTGAATTTGGACACAGCCTCAGAGGCTTAATCAGTTGTAGAGACACTAATCCAATGATTACTTTTTCAGATTTCCATTCACTTCAGTTTGGTGGTTTGTGAGATATTTTGCAAACACACAAAATCTGGGCAAAAACATTATCGCTCTATACACTTGATAACGAAACCTTTGCTGACATCGGCTGAAAGAAATATTTAAAAGAGAAAAACTCCACCTGTCAGACCTTCCTCCCCCCTTCCCCTTGCCACACATCCTAGTAACACATTAGTATTGGGTCCTGGCTAAATGGTTGACCCCGTCCTCCCTCCATCCATCCATCCATCTATCCAGATGAACAATAATGACCACGTAGCAGAGCAGCCTCTGATGAATTAAACATTTCCTTCCAGTGAGAATCTCATTTCCCTGTCTTTCAGATGGCAGTAAGGTGCCATTTTTTTCTGCTTGCAGAGCTACTTTATCATTGTGCAGCTCAGGTGCACTGCAGGTCAAAGACTCATTCTAAAATATTCTATCGGGGGGCAAATCAGATGCATTTCGTTGTAAACCACCAGTCTCAGGGTCAATCTGCAGCCACCCCCACTATCTATTTTACTGCCAGATTCAGGCTACCTTTTTGAGAACTGGGCTCGTGCCCAGCTCCATAATGGCAGTGACAGCTACAAGCCAGGGTCCAATCTCCCTAAAGTGTTACCTGAGACTCCTGTGTGATTGAACCAGTTCCCAAATCCCCTGTTTCATACTGTCCCTGTGTATTATTCTGCTTTGCATTCAACCTGAAACATGAGCTGAATTCTATTCTTTGTCTTCTTTGTTTTTCTTTGTTTTTTTTATTTTGATTTCATGGTCTCTCCATGGTCTTTCTCTCCTCCTTCTGCTTCCCTCTCCCCTTCCGTCATCACTCTTGACTTCTGTCACATCATCAGGTCGCCAGTTGACCATCTTTAACAGCCAGGCGTTCATAAAAATTGGTGGTGGAGAGAAGGGGCGCCACTTCCAGGGGCAGATCTCAGGCCTGTACTACAACGGCCTGCAGGTGCTTAAACTGGCTGCTGAGGGCGACCCCAACATCCAGATCCAGGGCAACCTGAGGCTGGTGGGCGACGTTCCCTCGGTGCTCACCACCGACACCACCTCCACCACCCCGCTGGCTGATATGTCCACCACTATCATGGAGACAACCACCACCATGGCCACGACCACCACCCGCAAACAGCGCTCGCCAACAACCTTGAAGGACAACGTCACACCGGTGAGAAAGAGCATGCTTTATGCTGACTCAGCATTCCATCTCCCATCCCCTTTCATGCCAGAGTTTTACACTAAGATTATTTAATGATAAGAAAACTGCAACTGTTTTTATTAAACCTTGTAAATGTTATGCTCGGTCACATTCAGTATTGTGAGATCTTAACATCTGAAGTGTGTTCTGAATGACTATCATCAACTACCTCACCAAATGTACCTAAATATCTGTAAAACTTACTAAGTATAGAAGTTTTTTTATGTGTGGCCAGTGGTGTCCAAAGTCAGTCCTTAAGGGCTGGGGTCCTGCATGTTTTAAGTGTTGCTCTGGTTCAACACAGCTGAACCCAAGAAGTGCCTAATTAGTAGGCCTACATACTGTTATTTAAGCCATAGCTAAAATAGTGTAAATATCTAAATTCTGGGTATAAAGTAAAATTACTAAACTGCAGTGGTGGGCACAGTTCCCCTAAAGCACCAAAGCTCTAATAGGGGAACTAATTTCTTGATTAGTGCTTGAGGGATTTTGCTATTTTTTAAAATCATTGGTGGATTAGCACTTGCTAAATTTAGAAGCACTAAATGATGTCTTTAAATGTTATTGGTCAACATTATTGTTCACAGTTGAGGGTAAAAGCTGTCATACATTTTGTTCATATGTGTTTCTCTTATCTACAAGGTCACATATGTCAAACTCAAGGCCCGTGGGCCAAATGTAGCCTGTGGGTGACTCCCATTTGGCCCGCCAAGTGCACTAAGTGACAATATTCTGCACACAGTAAATGTTGTCTCATAGTGACTTGAAGAGTGTTTCATGTGTCAGATGGATTATATTAGTGGTTTAGAATTAGCTTTTGCTAAAATTTTCAATACATTAATGCTTTAGAATTAGGGGACCTAAATATTTGAGTTAGTGCTTTAGAATTARRGGACCTAAATATTWRARTTRGTGCTTTAGAATTAGGGGACCTAAATATTTGAGTTAGTGCTTTAGGGTTAGTGCAACTAATATTTAGATTAGTGCTGCCCACCACTGGTAAACTGTACCTTAAATTAAAGTTTACCCAAAACATAGAAAAAAGCTAAAAATGGGAACATTGTAGGTAAAAATGAGCAAATCTGCTGATGAAAAGTAAAATTAGCTAAACAAAAGTTAAAATCTGCTATACTGTAGCAAAAAGCTAAAGTAAGCAAAACAGTAGCTAAAAGCTTTATTTGCCTTAATTATAGCTAACAGTTAAAATGAGCAAGTAAGTAAAAACTTAAATCAAATTAGCAAAATGGTAACTGAAACCTAAAAGTATAAGAATCAGCAAAAATCTAAATCTTATCCAAAACATAAATACAAACAAAAAATAGAAACATTGTTGCTGAAAGGTAAACAGTAAACCAACCGTTAAAAAAGATTACTGAATGCTATAATTAGTTGAACTGTGGCCTAAAGCTAAAATTAGCTAAACTGTAGCTAAATAAAAGAGTTTACAGTAGTTATAAGCTAAAAGTAGCAAGTCCCTGTGTCACACGGTAATGTTTTAGACAACATATGCCAACATATGAATAAAGTTACACACTTGTGTAGATCACATAAGCTTGGTATAAGGTTTAAAAGAATAACAAGCACACTGATATGCAATAACATAAGTTGTTGTGCGCCAGTGCTAGCTAAAATTGTTATACTTGTACAAAGTTTTCAGTATATGCCAACGTGTTGCTGATATGCTAAACATAAGTTACAGATATACTGTATGTGACAAGTGGTGCACAAGTTCATACACTTTACTTTTGCCATTATGAAAGTGGTTAAATGGTAACTAAAAGCTAAAAATATAAAAACAGCCAAAACATTACTGCAGCTAATACATATTTATTAGTGTGTCCTGTTTGACTCAGTCAGCATTCATATATACTTTTCCTTACATTTTTTTGCTATCAAACAATCAATCAGATCATACAGTGCTGTGGCTTTTGTGGTTTTTGAGACTATAATTTTCCTTAAAATAGTTGTCTTTATTTAAAATACTGGCGCAGCATTCACAGAAAAGTTTCTTCAAAGCAAATATTTTGGCACCCTTAATTAATATTTATGACTTGACTTCACAATTATGTTGGAGGCTTTCATTTATGGCCTGATGATTATCCACATATGCTGAAGTAACAACATGGCAAGCAACAATTAGTGAACAGCAGGGGAAGTGCTGTTGCCCACATACATAATGATTGAAAAGGCAGGAGATCTGGACCCTCTACTCTCATGGGACAACTTAAATACAGAATTCATTTGTTTCAGGGGGAAATACGTTTCCTCCACATCCACACTCATTAGCTACAATATATGTGAAACGCATAGAGTTAAGCTAGCTATGTACTTCACAAGACATAAGACATCTGCTCTCACACGGTTGTGTGTGTGTGTGTGTGTGTGTGTGTGTGTGTGTGTGTGTGTGTGTGTGTGTGTGTGT